TGATACGTTTATTCCTGTCAATAGAGTCGACGTGGTTCCTCGGATTCGAACGGAAAGGCACTTCTTTTATGGTTTCTGCACACCATTCGGTCTGTCCCATTCCCTGGGGATATATGCGCAAATAGCTGCCGTACTCAATTGTGCTCTACGAATGCATGGTCTCACGTTCAGTCGCTGGATTGGTGACTAAATCTTTATCCACTACACCAGTCACAAAAGAATCATCGGAAAACAACATCACCATCATCCGCAAGACATTTGCAATCTTGGTATCGAAATATCGGACCCATAATCTGTAGAGTGCCAACAGGTCACGAGATTGACAAGTTAGATGGCATCGGGGTTCGACGGCTCACAAAACAAATAAAATGGCGTTTATCCACCGGAATCGTGTGACATAGAATAACGAAAGTCGTCTAAAGTATCATTACCGTGTGCTCACTGATACAATGTCATGGTTAACCGCCAGTATACAACAAGTTCACCTTGATGTTCAATAAACATTCTGGATTCTATTAGTAGCCACCCACATATGAAAAAATTGAGAAGCGCATCCCATAGGAAATCCATGACGATATCGCATAATTAATCCGCATCCGCCACCGCTGACCGCTGGAACGGCACACCCCTGCTTATCCATCACCCACTGACAAAAGTATCACGTATCACACTGTCTTCGTATGCTCCAGCTATAGTCAGCGGGTGGGGTTATCTGAGATATGGTGCCTAGGGTTATACATTTTGGCAACCGTGCCATATATGATGGACTGCCAGCTTTACTTGCAACTTAAGTTCATTTTTCTCATCACTTATCATTTTTAAAACGCAAAGGATCTCATACAAGCGATCTTCGTCGTCGCTCTGTACGGTGAACGCTCGAAAGGCCGTATGTTCGCTGTACTCTCTAACAATGCTAGTGCCGTGGCTGACCCGTGGCTGACATTGTGGCTCGCACCTCAATTACGCCTGGTATCCTCGATCTCCTGCGATCTTCACTAGAATCGAAATCAAATTTGACCTTGAGTTTAATTTGAAATATTTATTTTCCCAGCCAGTGTACAGCAAGTTCACCTTGATGTTTAATAAACTTACTGTATTCTACTAATAGCCGCCCACAAATGAAAAAAAAATCATTATGAGAAGCGCATCTCATAGAACCTCTATGACGAGATCGTCTAATTATTCCGTGGCTGACCCGTGGCTGACATTGTGGCTCGCACCTCAATTACGCCTGGTATCCTCGATCTCCTGCGATCTTCACTAGAATCGAAATCAAATTTGACCTTGAGTTTAATTTGAAATATTTATTTTCCCAGCCAGTGTACAGCAAGTTCACTTTGATGTTTAATAAACTTACTGTATTCTACTAATAGCCGCCCACAAATCACTGTCGCCCTAGTAGAGTTCTTTACTTCCTATCGCACAGATAAATTCATTGTTTGTGATAAAAGAATAGAAATATACGCCTTCACATATGCCGCGGCAGAGGCGTCGTGCTTCAGGAACAATATGTTGAGATCGTATTGTATGCTCATACCGAAAACCTCCCAAGACTAAGCAATCATCGCCATAATATAACTACAACTATCGAGATTCATGGCAGTTATTTGTTTTTGTAATGCTTTTGCCCCCTGACTTACCTGCAAACACACCGATTGTTGGACAAGTCATCTCTTTTCACCCCGCGACACTATCTAAACGACATTGTAAAAAGCTATCCAGACGAGCGCTCAAAACATATAAACCTTATGTACGAAAATTTTCGGCCATTCTTTACGCATCTGCGGACTGGCGGACTTCACAAGACTAAGCATCATCGCCATAATCGAACTACAACTATCGAGAGTCGTGGCAGTGATTTGTTCTTATAATGCTTTTGCCCACTGACTTGCCTGCAAACACACCGATTGCTAGACAAGTCATATCTTTTCACCCAACAACAAGGCATTATATAAACGACATTGTAAAAAGCTATTCCGACGAGCGCTCAAAACATGTAAACCTTATGCACGGAAAATTTCGGCCATTCTTTACGTATCTGCGGACTGGCGGCACTTTGAAAAGTTATAATCACAGTAGCGAAGCCTGTATCATAAGTCATTGGGCATCATATAGCTATACTTCTTTGGTAACTCCAAAAAAAGACTATACCTGCTTCGTTACAACACTCACCCAACTCATGTAGTCCGGATCAGATTTCCAGAGTTTGACGATATCATAGATTCAATCGCACTGCGCATTTCCTTTCCACACAATCACCATAAAATGAGTAGTATCGTCATGAGTATCGACATGTACGAGCCAAACAATGCATAGCGGGAAACTACGATTGGCATAATCGCATATAATCAAAAATACCTGTTATTGGTTCATACGGGACGAACTCTGGATCCGATCAGACGGTGTCATGCACCACCAAAAATTGCCGCACAACATCCAATGAGCGTGTATATCAAGCTTACCTCAGACTCGACATTTTTGGCCACTGAGTATGGAGCTGCCATTCAGTACTGCTGTATTGTATATAGCGAAACTTTTGCTTTATTGCAGAGCCATACCAATTGCCCTCGAAAACTGCACAGGCAATAGCACATATTTTAGGTACATGGGTTCGCGAGTCGGTGGCTGGACTCGTGAATATATATCAGGGAGGTAATACAGAACCCCAACGGATAAAGATGTGCACACTATGCTGACACCAACTCTAACTCTGGCGAGAAAGTGTATATAAATCGTATCTATGGCACGATACCATCTGTGCGTGACATGGTGAATTTATAATGTTGAACTCGTTCACGCAAAGCGGTACCAAGTAGCACATCTGCACACTTGGTGTAACTCACTTATTTCGCTCGCAAAAGACGCTGTTCCGAGGCAGAAAACCGGGTTACTTCTCGCGTAGAATAAACGAAGGCGCAGCAAATAACCACAAACAGCGCGTTACATCAACAAATTCAACAGAATGTGACACATATCGTTGTCTGCTGCAAAACTCGCGTGGACAAAAAAAATACTTACAAGCCTCCCGAGAGGCCCCACAAGTCCGTCATATTGGTAGCGCTTTCCGAACTCTGGGATATAATGGTGTCTTAGGGTGGTTATTATTCTTTGGCATTGAACTTTCCTTTGGCGAGGTCCATTCTTTGTTGCCTTGACAAACTTGGAGACAGTGGCAGAGTTTGCTGTAGGTCGGACGGACCTGCTGTTCCACTGAGGCGGCAAATACAGAGCCCTCATCCCCACGTAACTGCTTAAGTTCTACGGTGTGCCTAAGGTCTTGAACCAACTCGCAAATTACTCCCCGATTGGCTTGCTATCGGTCAATGAACCCAATGAAAATCAATTTTGCACCCAACATTGTAATAATATATTCAGTGTATCTTTGATGTGCACATACTTGTGTCCACACAGATGCTCATGCGTACATCTTAGTAGCCGCGCCTAATAGGAGCTTGCAACCAGTCTATACGCATGAGATATTCAGAGGTAGCAACTTGTGCAGTATCCATTCTTTAATTTGCATAAACCACGCTCGGATTCTATCGATTCTCGGTAAGAATGTATGCTTCAACGCAGACAGGACTGTGTTTGCAACTTTCATTTTGCTAGATAAAGTTACGATATTTATTCAAGATACCTCACCACTTAGCTACTCGCACAAGAGAAACATGTACTGCAATATTCTAGTTCATGCAAGTGTGTAAGCAATATCATGTATTAGTCGGAGAGTGCAGTGAGATAAAAAAATAAAGCGAGTAACTGAGTGTTAGCCCAAGCTCCACAAAGATAACTTAAAATATAATAAGTAAAAAACAATATTGACATTGTCCGGATGGTCTAGGTGGTTATGACGGTTGCTTAACACGCAACAGGTCGGCGGTTCAAGTCCGCCTCTGGAAATACTTTTGTTGCTATTTATCAGAGCACAATTGTAAAACAGTTAATACCAGGAGTGGACTTGCTATTATGACATTTTTTTTTAGCAGTCAGTAAGACAGTTACTTTCTAAGTTTCAGGAGTGAACTCAGATTGCCTTGTGTGGATTGATATTTACGTACAAGCGCAGTGATAATACTCACCCTTTGATTTCTGATGTATACCGTCTAAAGCACTAGCTTCAATTTAGAATGACATATTCTCTGGACGCCGTCAGGAAGTCAGCCTTTTTAATAACACAGGTGACAATATTTAGTTCGGCCGACTGAGATTGTTTTGAACTATATATGTGTTGATAATATATAGCGTAATTGGCAACATATTGTATCCTCCGGATGGTCTAGCTGGTTATGACGGTTGCTTCACACGCAACAGGCCGGCGGTTCGACTCCGCCTCTGGAAATTTTGTTTTTGAATTCTCCAGACTCTTATATTTTGTTTTACGAAGGTATTTACTAAAATCACAAGTATATCCAACCGAATCTATGACAGCCCTATGTAGTAGTACATGCACACACTTTCAACGCACGGTCTTTAAAGATCTAATATATCATGTATAATATTTGATATTATTGAAGCATAGCATCTTCCGGATGGTCTAGCTGGTTATGACGGTTGCTTCACACGCAACAGGTCGGCGGTTCGACTCCGCCTCTGGAAATTTATTGTTGATGATTTTCGTATATTTTAACATATCATTATGACCTAACTTGTGATCGGATTCCATGTGGTGGTCTGAAGGAGAATACATACCTTGTTAGCATCTGTATTAGCTTATATTGAAGACTTTAGATGGAAATTTTCTCGGCCTACAAGTGTATTGTCAGTAGCATCCATCTGGGTACCCACTGTGTCAGGTATGAAAAAAAAAGTATACTTCCGTTGTTCGATTATATACTGTCCAATCTCACAGAGATGTATACACCGCAGCCTGAGATTTGACAAGTACATCAGATTATTATATATTTGAAATACATAAATAAATTAGAGAACGGCACGGCAATACCTCAGGGTAGTGCACTAGCTCCTGTTTGTACAGCACAAAGGTCGCAATGTCATAGAAACGCTCATTTAATAATTAATCACGTGGGTACCCACTTCTAATTCATAAGTGGCCAGTTCGTCATACTCGCCCGTGCAACACTCAGCTGCCGTATGTGGTTCAAAGTGGTGAGGCTTTAGCTACTACCGCCGACCGTCTGCACTCTGTCGCGGTGGAGATTCCAGACCTACACAGGGTTTCTATTATCACACACAGCTGTAACAACCACAGAGTGAGACAATTCAGCGAGCAACGCTGATAGTTATCTATTGGGTCCTTGGGACGGAGGGCTGACTGCATTGGAGCCCCATGCGATGAGATGGGTATCAAATTAAGCACACCTTACGCGGACCAGGAGCCACTTCAGCAGGCCACGCCAAATATATCAGGCCTTAATCTATCACCAGACGAGCGAGCTATAGGACACGGGAGCAGGTGGGACAATGATATACACACCCGGCGTACTCACCAGACACCATGTGTCTAGAGACAGAGACACCAGCCCATACGTACTGCACTCGGTTAGGAAAAAAGGACGAATCCGAGGTCCGTGTACTATCCAGCCAGGCCTCAGTAGTAGTAAGGGTCGGGGTTGCTGTATTAAAGTGATTTGGGCCCTATTTGTTCGCTGAATTTGGGGGAAGGAGCTTGTAGGGATTCAGTATACCCTTGGGGTCGAACAGGCTCTTGATTTGGTGCATCAGGGTCACCGCGGCTGGGCTCTTGGAGTAGTGGATACACTTGGACTTCATATAGCCCAGTCCATGTTCCGCACTGACACTGCCGTTTTCACCCGCTGAATGAGACGAAGATCAGAAGATCCATTGGATAAGTTACCATTCGAGAGGCTGACGAAGGCAGATGTAATGTTTGAATACGGTATGTGTGTTTCTGTTGATTTCGGGTCAATAACGAGGCAGGGTGCGCCTAATACGAAGGTACCAAAATAAATAATGCACCGAGTGCATTGAGCAACCCTGACATATAATTGCGAACAATATGAATACATGCAGAGTGTTGCTGTACTAAATAGTAGAGTGTGGCAGTTACCTTTCACGAGATATGTGATGTGATAGACACAACAAGATAGAACATGGGAATATGCAAAAGTGATTGGGGTATATAAATAACGTCGCGGAGACGATTCACAGTGAAGGCTTGAAATTAAATATAAGTACACATTCTAAGCAGATAATTTACTATTCGCTGATTTGAAATAGACTGTACGGATGTACACCGCAGAATATTACGATTTCACAATATAGAAGATATGTTAATCTATCGAAAAACAGTAGTGCACCTGCGCGAAGCCATCCAACTATCGTTTCTCGGGAAGAAAAAGCCTACGTTGGTAGCTGAATCCGGAGACACCCCACACATACCTGTATATTCGTAAACGTATGGCTCGATTTTGGCCAACAGCTCGGGATTGTACTCCTTGGAAGTGATATTAAGATGCAAATTGCCGTCTCCAATATGTCCGTACCCGCACACTCGTACAGTCAATCCCTGTACACAGCAGCAGAAGTGGTTGGGGCGTTTACGATCAGTACCATGCGTACAAGTTTCACAGCAAATGCGTGTGAAATGCGTAAAGACATGGACGTGTGACGAGGTATGAATAGTAAAGTAGAAGGGTTTATTGTCATGATACGGCTACGAACTGATCCATTTTGTATCTACAAAGGCACATATGGTACACAGTATGCAATTGAACGTAAAGCGCCAAACAGCAGCAAAATTCGCATAGAAAATCAATAAGTTAAACGTGTGTTGTATCGTCGGATAACGTCTCAGTGCACACCTCAGTGTACGACAGAAAATTAGTGATTGCTGAACAATTTCAGGGTCGGCTTATGTAGGACGTTGCAACAGTATTCGAGTTTTGGACCAAGCGTGAGAAATGCCACAGATAGCAAGTTAGATCACACACCTCGCATCGTTTCCGCATGTCCTCCACGATATCGTACATCTTGGAAACGGGTAGAGATATATCGTACTTGTAAACGTAACCATCGCCCAACAGCGCGCCAGAAATTTCCTCTCTGATGGCCCACAGAGCCTTTTGCTGAGTCTGTTGGAAATCGAGTTCTCACCATTAAACAGGGCATCTCATAATACGTACCGCCGAGCTTTCGGCATAATAAAAGGCCGGGTGTATTGTCATGTGATTCTGAGGGTTTTAGGGTTTATAGTAAGTTCCTTATAGTAAGATGCAGCGCGTGCGGTACATCGCCAGACGCAATATACATTCTAAGTATGCATGTGCACGCACGGACAAGCCATGCATTCGCTAGTACATATGCAGGGGGAGAAATTGCACTGCATATTCAGAGACAAACATATTACCGTACTTACGATAGTCTCTTCAATAACGCACGCATTCTTCACACACAGAGCTCACAGCTACCACGCACGTCTACATGTACTCATACCGTATCCATGGCAACCGTGCCGTCGACGCACACACCACTCTCTATAACGCTCTCGAGATACTTATTGAGCTTCTCCGTGTCGTGATCGTTGTTTGACCCAGAGGTCTCGACCAGGAAATAGAAGGGGTAGTTGGCAGACAGGGGATTGGTGCCCCCAGGCAGGTTGGTCTGGATTACATCCATGCAAGAGTCATCCAGGAACTCAACCTACAATAAGACATGTAGGGATAGGTGTGAGTACTCTGCCATGCTATAATGAACACCAGCTATGAGAAGACATTAGGGATAGATTTTCATGAACGCCTCCGGCCTTGAAGAGCAGTGTAGCAGTCCCCTCAGAAGGCCCCACATCCAAGCCCAGCCATAGGACCGGCACCTAATACTACGCTCTAAAGTATATACACGGATACATCTGTACTATTCGACACAAACACGACGAGGTGATACACCCACAACGTTTGTTATGTTACCCCTTGCCAGCGGGTAAGCAGCATATCAACATAGGCGTTACATGAGGACCTATGTAGATCTGAGGCCTATATGGGGGGTATCCATCCCCAGATATCCGACAATCCCTAGCTCTAAGACACGCACAGCAACATACCGCGCTCACCACCTCACCCAGCATGCCCCTGGCCTGGGCAAGCAGCTCAACGACACTCTCGTACGACTCGCATCCCAGCAGCGCAACGTTCACCGCACTGGCTCGACTGGACGTCAACAGAGACGCACGTGTCACCACACCCAACGTCCCCTCGGAGCCTATGAACAGCTGCTTGATATCGTACCCGGTGTTGTCCTTGCGGCAGGGGGAGATGGTGTCTACTACCGTACCGTCGGGGAGTACTACTTCCAGGCCCAGCACTGTGCCATGCAGAGACCCATAGCGCACGAAACGGATGCCGCCGGCGTTTGTGGCGATATTTCCGCCAATTTGACAGCTGGTTCGGTAGGGGTGCAGTGAAAATACAGCTTGGGTGAGCGTCACTTATGGATTGAATATGATGGGAGTGGGTGCAAAACGGGTGATCGCTGGAAGTCTTGCAATATAACAGCAACGAGTAAAACGACAACCGTACGGGTATGTATACGTGAGAATATAGGAGGCCCAACAATTCAACAGCAACAAATATAAAGACAACTGTACAAGTATATATGTGACAATATAGGACGCCTATATATATAAGAATATATGTGATGGGAAGTTCCTATACATATGTGTGAGAACATAGAAATTGCTACTATCGAACAGCAAACGATTACAAAACAACTATATATATATATATATACATACATAAACAACACACATATATATATATATATATATATATATATACATACACATAACACACACACATATATATATATATATATATATATATATATGTGAGAATGTAAGATCAGTGAGACATAACTACTTTGACATGTTGTCCCATTGTACAAATATATATGTTTGAGAGAATATTGAAACAGCAGCGAAAATTGCCTGCGATTATCAAGGCTGATTGTGATACACATAAGGCAACACCTTGGGTATGAATTTGAATGGGACTGTGCGCTTGTATTAATTTATTGACAAGTGACTATAGACATATACGTAGGTGTCCATGAGAAGTGAGAGAGATACGCGCCTTTGTAAAAACCCACGCACGCATACTTGGCTAAATCTATGCACATGTAACGTAACATGTTAGCGTACGGGTGTAGATATGCACATACACGCATATATGAACACACATATTCGCGTACTTGTAAACACAGACGCAGGCGCTAATCTAAATATCGATGTCGCGTACCGATACCTTAACGCGTTCAAACATAGACACACCAACACAGGCGTATACAGAAGCCCAAGTAATCACGCTGTACTCACAAAGAAGTCAGCGAATGCGTTCAAACAAAAAAAACAATACAATACCTCCCCTTAGCACCCAGATCGAGCGGCATACAGAATCCACGGTCAGCCAGATAGCCGTCCAGTGATTCGAGGATACAGCCGGCCTGGCATGTGAGGATACCTACCGGGTGGGTGTGGGATTGGTGGGTCAGTGACCGTGGGGGTGAGAGCGTCCAGATGAGGTTGTGACAGCTTTTTAAACCCTATAAACCATGCACCATAGCGGGTATTGCACCATGCGAAGTACATATTGCTATCGTCGATCAAGCGATTGACAAACAAGCAAACAGATTGCACAGAAAGCCAAACCTACCCGAGACTGGGTCGAAGCTCTCGATGGTTTGCATCAGGGAAGTGGACAGAACAATCTCGTCACGTACAGGTACACCGCCACCCACAAGTCCCGTATTACCCCCTTGTGGCACCACTGCTATGCTGCAGAAGTAACGTATGACGGAATAACGCTTGACAATACGATACATGAGAAATGAGAAAGTGAAGTGGGGTGGATGTCGGCGTATGGGAGAGTAACGGGACCAGAACAGAGTGGTTCAAAGCACACCGCCAAATACAAGCCCTGTACTACCCCCTTGTGGCACCACTGCTATGCTGCAGACGTAACGAATGTCGGAATAACGTATGAGGGAATACGACAGATGAGGAGATAGATTCTGACGGCTGACTAGGGTAGTCACTACAGGCGGAGAGGGTGGATTGTATAGTACAATTCGACATACCCCTACAAAAAACTACAAAAAACTATAGATTTTCATATCATTTTTGAACTCCTTAGAAACAAATGTTGTGGACATTTCAAAGGGTTTAGAATAAACAATAACTAGCAAGTACGAACCCTATCCCTTGGGTTGTAAGATGATAGCTACGAGGATCATGGTGCCGTCAGTACGATCCACCTGTATGTTCACACGCGCAAGAAATTTTTACAGCAAACAGAACAAAAACAAGCGAATTTTCTGTATCTACTTCGCACAACACTACTCGTCAGAGTCGTCGGCATTATCATATCGCAGACATGCTCGAGATTGCCACGCGACGCATGCGAACACAAAACATTTAACGATACTCAGTAGATCGATAAGTAAACACAGCAAGCCCAAACACACCCACCTGTTGTCGTTGCAGTATTTTAGTATAGACGACACTTCTTGGGTGGTCTTTGGCTTGAGTACAACGGGACCAGACCCTCGATACTTCCCAAGCCAGTCAGTGTTGTGTGTTAGCAGTACCTGCATAAGCCATACATGAAGGCGACACATGAATGAGTGGAGTGCTCTATATACTATGTATACGTATGGGAGCACGAGATATCTTGCACATGTTATTAGAACACTCGTCTTATAATATACATGAGAAACAAAGAGTACACACCTGTGCCCAGGCACTCTATGTGCGCGAGTGATCTATGCATATACACAGATTTGTGTTGACATTTCGATGTTAAATCGAGCATAGTGTGCACATGTAGGAACTTACAGTCTGTGCTATTGCAATTCAACTAGGCACATAGACTCAAGTCGTATACGGATTACCGCAGACGTATCACTGCAGACGTATCACTCAGACTACTCATCGACATACACAATGCCGAGGAGTCATATGATAAAGAAGGCACATACATCGTCGTCGGTTGAAGCCCGGTTTCCAAGTAGATCTTTAAAAAAAGCCACATCGCGATCATCCACCTATACAGCGGGATGGAATTATATCAATAAGTTTCGGACATACATAAATCAGCCGTACCCGCCTCGCTTGCAATATGGCATGATTCTATACAGTACATGCACGAAAAAAAGTACCCAGAGAGAGAGACAGACATAGACACAGATACATATTAACACACACCCACACACACATACACCCACACACACACACACATATATATATATCGAATTCATATATATATACATATATACATATATATCGAATTCATATATATATATATATATATATAGAGGTAGATGTGAATATGCCGAGGAACTTTGACACTGCTGTATCACAAGAGTTTGGGCAAAGTAGCAAGATGTCTCTATATATATATATCCATATCTATATCTATATCTATAACTAGAACTGTAACTTATACATATACACACACATATATATATATACATATAAATTATGCACATCCATACAAGATTGCCATATATTAATAGTGCAATACATACACACACACGCACACACACACACACACACATATATATATGTATAAAACTGTATGCATACATACATACATACATACTTACATATATATATATATATACATATATATATATATATACATACATATATATATATACATATATATGTGTATATATACATACATACATACATACATACATACATACATACATACATATATATATATATATATATATATATAGTGACATATATATACATATGAATATACATATATACAGACACAAACTACACACACACACATATATATATATATACATATACATATACATATACATATTTATATACATGTACATACACACACAGACACAGACACAGACACAGACACAGACACAGACACAGACATATATATATATATATATATTATATATATATATATATATATATAAATATATATACAACACTCCACCCAAAAACATGCATACATGAGTATACATAGATCACAGACTCGCCCTTTTTGAAGGTACTTTCAGGCACATTTTTC